GGGGGGGTATTTGGAGATAAAAACTCTAATGAAATTTTTGTCTGATATTTCCGATACAGTTATTAAGAACGAATTTAATTACCACAAAAATTTCAAGGAATTTCGTCATTAAAAATTCAGCATTTTGTGGAAAAATCAAAGAACTGTAAATTCCAGTTCCTTTTTCCCCTGAAAATGAATGGAAAACCAGAAAACTCCGGTAAATATACACTGATAGTAAGGATTAGTTATTGTTAACAAATGGATTTGGTTGGAGATGAGAGTCTATTCGGTCTCACCAAATGCTCATTCGTTAATAGTTAACAAATGCACATTTGAGATGCTTGTTTAACTCAATTTTCACCTTTCAAGTGAACCATTCGTAAATAGTTGACGAATCTCGTTCGAAATAAATGAATCAGTCTATCAGTGTATTCTTAAATTTTCAGGACAGTGATACTGAATGCGATTTAGAGGGGAAAAATCATGAAATTTGAGATTTCACTGAAAATTCAATTTAATTGTGCTAATTCAAATAAATTGAGAAATTCTCGTCTTTATGCTGCTTAAAATTCTGGAATTTAACTGAATTTTCCGCGAAACCCGATATTTCATGATTTTTTGTCCCCTAAATCGCATGCAGTGTCACTGTCTTGAAAATTAGTAGTCAACTGTCTATGAAATTTCATTTTTTTTACCAGGGCACCGTTAGAAAATTACTCTTGAAATTTCTCTGTAAAATTGCATAATCTTCAATAGAAATCATGCAAAAAAAACAAAAGAATTATTTTATAGAATATTCACAGAACTCCAATAGACTTATAGAGTTTCAAAAGAAATTTAGTAGATTTTTTTACGAAAGGGCCAGATTTTTCTTGTGTTTTTTTTTAATTTGACGAAATGTACAATTTTTTTTCTTTTTTCTATTTTTTCTCTGTTGTGTATTTGCTTTTTCGTCTCGAAATAATCCCCCCGAGCTAGCCTCGTGATATGTCAGATAAATCTGGGGACACCCTGAATATCCATCTGTAATCTCTGAACAAATCGAGTATTGGGTAATACAATTAGTAAAATAAACAGGCCAACTGATAATATCATCGATAACAACTCAGGAATTATAATTATCTAATCGAAAAATCACGAGTTGTCACGATTCGTAAGAAATATTATCACAGATATATATAATTAACTAATCAGTGCGTTTGTTATTGGCCCTGTCAGGCTTCTTCATGAATAAATAAATCTGTTCGAATGAGGATTTTGGTTGATTCCCCGAGTACTCAGGGCTGTAATTATAAATTAGGTGTTTACTTTCCTCCTCGGGCGTTTTGAAACGGTGCTGATTTTTCCGTGCTGAAACAAAAGAGATAGATAATTAGTATGCAGTTAGGTTAAAACCTTTGTATTGGAGTCAACGACATATGTCAATCATCAATGAATGGAGGAATTTAATGTGAAACAGAATCTAGACTTATGTTCATTCGTTGCGTTTACAACAGCTGAAGGACAATGCGAGATTATGCAATTCATGATTCGTTTTCGAATGGACATTTAGGTTCGTAATAAATAAATAAATTTAACAAAATTCTGAGATCATTCGTTTTCAAAACGCGAAATGCAAAATTAAGAAGAATACAGTAGACCATTGTTTGTTATACATGGAGAGAAAAGTTGGATAAAAATTACTTAGAAAATCGGGGGAAATTTTACTGTACGAAAGGTAATCGTGGAGCGAAATGTAATTACAAAATAACAATAATATGCAATTACAAAATATTACGATATTTTACGATTCGTTTGGTAAAAAAAAACCTCTACACTGTTAAAAATTTTCGTCTGAATTTTCCGTGCCAAATTCTGGAAATTTTTATTTCGTTCAAATTCCATTGAAGTTTCAGGAAATCTTATTATTGAAAAATGAAATTCTACAACTACAGGCGGGTAAAATTCAATAAATGGTTGGTAATTCATTTTTTCAATAACTAGTTGGTGAATTTTAACTGCTGGTAGTTGAAATTCACCCAATAATTTTCTCCGCATAAATAATTTAATTTTAAAAAAGTGGATAAACATTTTCAACTAATTGTAAGAGCTGCACGAAGAGAATATAAAATCAGAAATTACAATATGAACATAGTAATCCAGGACTATACCGAAACAACTTAAAAATTTGATTCATCTTAACCGAATTGTTACTCGTGTCAAACTAAATTTTACTTTTATTCTATCACTTTCTACTATACCGACTCGCAATTTTTACTACGTTCAACAGTAAATTTGGTGTGTAGCGAGTATAGTCCACAATTACTACGTTCACATAGTAAAAAATTATTTTATATTTTTTCCGCGTGACTCGATTTATTACCCTTTGCAATTGAATCCAATTCCCCTATTGGATACAAGTCACAATTTTCTCACCTTCAGCCACCAAAAAATCTGCAAAATACTGGCTGACACGAATGGCATTCCTCCCGTGGGGGATTGTGAGCCTCGAAAGCCATTCGTAATTATTCTTCTCAGGATGAAACTGGACAGCATAAAACGGGTAATTGACGTGTTCCAGCGACGAAACAAATTCTAACCCATTCCAGTCTTGGTTCACAGACATAACTCTGAATAAACTCGTCAAATTGACCTTCGCCAAGTCCTAAACAGCATCGGGCTCGCATTGTTAATATATCAATTGACCTTATAAATGTACCCGTTCACCCGTATGAAATCAATAGAGGAGATCCCCGCTACTCCAATTGCAAGAATAACGTTTCATTATATTTTGCTGGACATTGGGTATTGCAAAAGGGGCCAAGAAATGTGCTGACAAATGGAAAATTCAATTATAAGTTGAAAAGACGCAAAATTGAAGAAAAAAATGCAAAAGTTATGCAAAATTGATTTTTTTATGATTTTCTCTGGATTTTATTGCATTTTTCTTAGAACTCTGGAGAAAAATTTGGAAAGGGCCAATTACAAGGCTTCACGATTACGAAAAATTCTGGGTCATTATTAACAGGGCTGTCTATCCATATATCACATGTACAAGAAAAATTTAATAGGGTAGGGCAAAACGGACCCCTTTGTTTCGGTTTTGCTTCCGAATGGAAGCAAAAACAAAAATTCAAAATCATTTGTGGTTTGAGGTGATTAGCAAATCTGATCAAATTGCGATTCAACGACATTTCTTGTCTATAAAACTCCTGTGACGGTTATAATTATGAAATTCACTTTTAATTCAACACATTTAGTGGTCCTGAATTGAAGAAAAACAAAAAAACAAAATTACCAATTTTCTGTTTGTGGTCCGTTTAGCCCTCACGGTCCGTTTTGCCCTACCCTCCTCTAATAAAATTCCGTGCACGCTCAGAGAAAAAGTTAGTCATGAAGGTCAAAATAAGGGTTACGAGGGTCAGATTAAGGACCACAAGGGTCACATTAAAGGTCAGAAAGGTCAGATTAAGGGTCATGGGGGTCAGAAACTAAGGGTCGCAAGGGTAAAAATAAGGGTCGCTAGCTCTCTATATTATAAAATCCAAATCGAGTTCTGGTGATTTAATACTAGAATTTAACCCTAGATTGGTCACCCTATGAGGGAAACCCCGCAGCGCGTAGTGTTTCTTTTAACCGGAGGAATTCGAAAAAATTTAACTTCGTCAGTTGAAGTGTCGAAAAAATTATAATAGTTTTTAGAATAAGTGATGTCCCACAATTTCTGAAGAATACAAATTATTTTGAACAAATAAATTATCTTTTCCCATGTTAAATGAATTTGCGCATGGCGGGACGCCCAGTCAGTGTGGAGTAAATTCGGCAATGCTAAAGCCTGAATAACACGGCGGGGAATCCCCGCGCAAGTGACCAAAGTCGCAGGGACGCGTTTGGTGACCAGACTAGGGTTAAGACCCCAAAATTAAGGGTCAGAAATGAAGGGTTAAAATGTGGGACACGAAAGGAATAATGAGGGTTAGAATGAGGGTCACGGGGGTCAAATTAAGGGTCACAACGGTGAGAATAAGAATCACATGGGGTCAAATGTGGATCATATGGGAATCATATGGGGATCATATGAGGATCATATGTGAGCCATAGGAGGTTGGCGAGCGGAGCGAGCAGGGGACGTAGCCCCCTTGTCTCTCAGAAAAATCTATTACATTTCTATTAGTTTTTCACCGATTCTATTGGAAAATTCCTCGGCTTCTCTGTGCTTTTTTTCAAATGGCAATGCTGTATAAAAAATATTTTACAGAAGAAATTAATGGACTTTGATATTTTTACATAACGTATTCTATTGAGATTGTTTCTATAGAAATTACTCGATTCAAATTTCCAATGTTTGCTTGCTTGATTTTTTAGCGAGAACACAAAAAAAATATAGTGAAAAAAAGATATTTACAAGAATTTATGGAATTTATTTTATGGAATTTTCACAAAAAATACCTCAATAGAATCATTTGTATGAAAAATTCGAAATCTATCATTTTCTTTTTATTGAATCTTTCCTAGCGATGTGCTATGTATATCAGTTGAATTATTTCCTACGTGAAGTGAATGATTATTCACACAATCATAGTTTCATAAATTTCAATTGTATCGAAAAAGTGTAGAGATACCCTTTTTCTCAACTGGAAAAAACATTTACGTACGTCTTCGGTTACGCAGAAGTGATGGAAATTGGCTGTAACATTTTCCTTTTTCAGAATACCAATGACATCATCGGGAGCATTTTCAAACATTCGGCTCTGCTTGAAATCTATGAAAAAAACCGCGGAATATATAGCTGTTGATATCACACGTGTTATTGGTTTCGTTTACACCAGTGAATACTCCCTAATGCAAGGGGTTATTCGATTATGTACTCACCGGGTTTGAAAACCAACGGCAATATTTGATTGTTGCTTGAACACTTAGTTCGATGTTCTTCGCCATTAGCCGCGAGGTAGGTCAACAATTCAAAACCCAGACACGTGCCCCAAATTGGAAAATAATCACCACGATTATTCATCTCGCTGGCGATTCTAAGGGAATTAAAAAATAGTTTGCGAGTAAATATCAGGGATGCGACAAAATATCGTGGGACACGTCAGTGACCGTCATGAGATGGATGAGAATCGCGATTCTCGAGAGTCAAAATTGGCTCTGACGAAAAACTGTATGTTCCACGGATAGAATATTTGATGGAGTGGAACACATTCACCTGAGGGAAATTAACGAACACAAAAAATAAAATTTTGACGTAATCGTCAGAAATATCTCTAGAAGAATTCGAATTGTTGGCAGGAAAAAATATAATCTACTGGACGACAAACATTTGAACTGAGAGAACGCCATCGGTTTATACCATAGGAAGAATACATTGACGAGGAAAGAATATTATTTAGTTTTGCCAATAACACAGTTTTCGGCAAGAAAATTGTAGTTTCCTCTTGAAAATTATCACGTCTTGGTGAGAACTTTCTTTTTTGTCCAAAAGTACACTGATTCAACACGACAAAAGTTTCTTCAGGAGAACATATAACTTTTCGACAGGACTAACATTTGAAGGCATGAAACCTTTCTCGGACCACCAAAGTTGAGATACCTGGGAGAATTAAGCAATTGAAGAAAAATTACTTGTCTTAAGGGGAAACTACTGAGTTTTTAAAGTCGTGGGTTATTGGAGTGAGACTTTTCATACGTTAAAGATCAATTATATAGATCTGAAAACGAATAATTAGTGTAAAAAAAAAATTTTTTTATTGCTCGTTTGCCCGAAAACTCTTAAAATGCAAAAAAAAGTTCAGGGCCTCCAATTTTTGAGCATTTTTTTATATGAAAAAAACTGAAATCAGCTGTGTAGGAGTCGACTTCCAAAAAACTGGCTCGTAATTGTTTCGCACATTCTTACAAAAATTTAAAAAAAAAATCTTTTGTAGCTCAAAAATTGGAGGCCCTGGACTGTTTTTAGCATTTTTAGCGTTTTCGGGCAAACGAACAATAAAAAAAATTTTTTTTTGTGCTAATTATTCGTTTTCAGATCTATATAATCGATCTTCAACGTATGAAAAGTCTCACTCCAATAACCCACGACTTTTAAAACTCATAGTAGTCTCCCCTTAAGTAAATATGTTTCAGACATTTAAAATTTAAAATTTATTTTCTCAGTGGAAAATCTGCATAAAGTGTGGGTCAAATTGCATACTTTATGCGTATTTTATAGACACCTTATCGGATTTTACACATGGGGTTAGATGCGCGGAGTTTATGTGCAAAGTCCATATATAGTGTTTTCTGTGTGAACAACAATAGAGAAATTGAATTTTCGAGAAATTCAGAGGAAATATCTCTATTATATGAAAATGTGGGATTCCTGGGAACTCACCTGTAAATGATCTGACCTGCCTCTGAATAGCCCCCGGATATACCGAACAAGGAGTTTCCGCCGGGAAAAAGAACTCTATTAAAAAAAGAAGATGGAAAGGTATTATATCGTATCAGCCACGTGGCGCACGCTATATAGGTATACCCCTGCGTGAATTTGGGGGTGAATTGTATTCCTCACCCATTGACTCCGTTCAGTACGTCTTTGTAGTACGATTCCGGCTGTCCAATCCTAGAACGATGGTGTTCAATTAAATTGAAAAGTGGTAAATCGGGAAAATTTTAACTTTCGCTTCTCGCAAGTGTGTGTTCACCTCAGGAATGAATAATTTTAGAAGAAAATGCTAAAAACCAGTTTTTATTCTAAAATCATTCATTTTTGAGACGATTTTATTCAATTTTAAGGGGAGTGAGATTGGAATGAGATTTCTCATACATAGAAAATCGATTAAAAATGAATAATTAGTGCAAAAAAATTATTTGTTTATTGTTCGTTTGCCCCGCAGGCGCTTTAAATTTAAAAAATAGTCCAGGGCCTCCAAATTTTGAGCTGCAGAGTTTTTTTTTCTCACAATTTTTGCAAAAATATGTGCAATAACAATTACGAGTTCGACTCCTACACAGATAATTTCGTTTTTTTTTTATAAAAAATTGCACCATTCACCTAAAATAGGCCAAAAAATATTTCTGAAAGAATCAAGAATATATTTTTCATATTTTAAGAAAAAAATTTTGGCCCATCTTACATGAACGGCGCAAATTTTTATACTAAACAAAAAGGAATTAGCTGTGTAGGGGTCGAATATCAAAAAGCTAATTCGTAATTATTATTGCACACATTTTTCCAAAACTTTTGAGAAATAAATCGCTGTAGCTCAAAAATTGGAGGCCCTGCACTATTTTTAACATTTTAAGCATGTGCGGAGCAAACGAACGATAAACATTTAATTTTTTGCAATAATTATTCGTTTTTAGCTATATATAATCGATCTTAAATGCATGACAAATCTCACTCCAATTGCCCGTGACTTTTAAAACTCATAGCAGTCTCCCCTTAAACACAGTTCAGCTTTATTCACAAGATGTCGTATAAGACGATCGATTTGTTACACGTTCCACTTCAGGAGCATTCAAGTATTACGTAAGCATAGGTAAAGGGAAGACAGGGGGGTTTCGGATTTCTGACCGTGCGTGTTGTCAAGACAAGGGAATATGCTGATGTAGGGGGAGGGGAAGGTCCAATTTGTCCAAAAATTCGCTTACGCTTATGCTAATACTTGAGCGACCCATTCAATATCGAATGACGTTCCCGATTTCCTGAATTATTCAGACGATTTTTTTTCCATTTCATGAAAATAATGGGGGTATTACCATATTGGAACGGCACGTGCCCCAGCACTTTCCACGTATTTCACGTAGGACGCAGCTAGGTAACTGTCGAATTTCTCATCACCGTAGATTTTAGTCATACGGTAACTGAGCTCTTGTGTTAAAATTCCTGGAATTAATAAGTTTAAAGGACGTTTGAGGGGATAATGGTGTTGGGCATTACACGTACAGGGAGAAACACTCCGGAAAAATTCCGGGACAGTTCCGTAAAATTTCCTACAACCACATTTCGCTCCGGAATCACGGAAAAGATACGTAATTGTTATTGAATATTTCTCTCCGTGCGGAGAAAAAAATTCCACAAAAATTACTGTGGTAGCACGGTAAAATAGGTTGATTTGGACGGACCCGGAAAAATTCCAGTGCCAGCACCGGAATTTCTGCCGTTCGCTACAGAAATTTTTCTCGGATTTACCGTGAAAAATTCCTGTACTCCACAGCAAATTTTCCGGGGTTGGCACGATAATTTTTCCGGGTCCGTCCAAATGAACTCATTTTACCGTGTTGGCACAGTAATTTTTTTGGAATTTTTTTCTCCGTGTAACAACAACCTATCAAAGAATTGTGGTCAGTTTTCTTAGAATTGAAAAAATTTTGAATTACAATCATTGAATATTACCAGCAGTATCATCACATGATTTTTGAATAACTGAAAGTTGATCTTTTTACAACAGTCCAATTAAAAAACAAGTAAATTTGTGTAATTTCTACACTGTTGAAAAAAAACTCAAACTTCATGGACTGTTAACTACTAATTTATGCCACTCATGCCTGAAACCGGCTGGATTACACACTCGACGCTTCGCGTCTCGTGTCTAATTCAGCCGGTTTCAGGCTTCGTGACATAAAATTTTGTTCAGTACTTGTTGGGAAATTTCGTCCTTAACGTGTGTGGTTACATCACTCGCCTTCAGCTCATGCTGTAAACCCCACACACGTTAAAGACGAAATTGCCCTACACGTGCTGAAATATACTATTTCAGGACAGTGACACTGAATGCGATTTAGGGGGAAAAAATCATGAAATTTCAGCTTTCACTGACAATTCAGTAAAATTCCAGAATTTTAAGCGGCATAAAGACGAGAATTTCTTTATTTATTTGAATTTCCAATCTAATATGAATATTCAGTGCCAAATTATATTCAATTTTTAGTGAAATCGGAAATTTCATGATTTTTCCCCCTAAATCGCATTCACTGTCCCTGTCCTGAAAATTCAAGAATATATTTTGCAGAATTTTCTGATTTTCTATTCGTTTTCAGGGAAAAATGGAACTGAAATTTATAGTTCTCTTTGATTTTTCCGCGAAATTCTGAATTTTCATTGACGAAATTCCTTGAAATTTTAGTGATAATTAAATTCGATAAAAATTTTCGAAAAGTGTACCGGAAAATTCAGTCAAAACTTTTTAACAGTGTACCTCTTAACTAAAAGTAGATTGTCTACGGAGAATATTCTTACCAATGATAGGACGATCATTCTCGTGGCCAGTTGATTGAACTAGAAATAATGATTGCACATGAGTCGTGAGACAGAGTATAAAAATAACCAAGGGGGCTATAGTCGTGACTGGGATGAACGCCATAATGGGCCACTAATGTTTTATGATTGTGATTTAGAAGCCAGACTGGGCGAGACTGACAGAGTTCTGTCAACTGGACGAAATTAAATACTTCAGTCTTCTGCCGTTTGAGGTCTCATCTGACACTGTAGATTATTAGATTAAGACAGAGACAGACAAGGAGTGCTCATCGAGCAAGTGAAGTGTCATTAGTAGAACAAGTCAAGTATTACGCTGAGTGAAATTTTCCGTTTCCCAGTTATTTTTTTTTGTCTTTATATCAATTTAAATGTCACAATTTCATAAAACCAGAGTTCATAACAGAGATGTCAGATAAGATGTGAGTGAGAATCTACCGTGGATCCACGGTAAAATTTACCATGGCGCGTGCGAATAGACACTGCCTAATAAAAGGATTGAACTAGGAACTATAATTCTTTTTGAATTTTTAAGCGTCGAGAAACATGCTAAAATATTGAAAAACGGGAACAGGCGGTGCCGCGCGCATTGAGCTAGTGATCGAGGTATTGGTATTGACCCTTCCCCAAACTGGCAAAAGTGAAAGTCTCTACGGAAAAATATGGTTCGCGCGTAATGCCACAGGGGTTTTCGGCCCGTGTAATTGGCACGCCTACCCTTCGGCTCAGCCAACCTCGCACTCGTCGAAAACCCTAGTCGCACTCAACGCGAAATATACTATTTATTTAAAAAAAATAAATCGGAAATTGAATCGTAAGGACAAATAATATTCAGAATCTCATCGGGTTTTCCGGTAATTGTTTGGAATTTTTTCAAATCTTTTAGATGAAGAATAACCTCTATGAGCGTATTTCAACTACTTTAAGTTCCATGCACTGATAGAACCGATTAGTTATTGTTAACGAATGGATTTTGGTTGGAGGTTAGGGTCTATTCGGTCCCACCAAATGTTCATTCGTTAATAGTTAACGATTGTATATTTGAGGAGCCTTGTTTGACTTGACTTTCGCCATTCAAGTGAATCATTCGTTAACTATTAACGAATAGGGGGGGGGGTCGTTTGTACAATCTCAGATGGACAAATTCCATTTTGGACACGATCTGGGGAAAATGGCGGCGGCACGAATCTGCGCAGTACAGATGGACACGAAAATTTATGGACAAATTCTCAGATGGACATATTTTGATGAGGCGGTTAAACAGGGCTCGGTATTGCAGGTATCCTTAGCAAATGTCTCAACAGTTGTAATTTTAAGTGCAGCGCCACGCTGAGAGATGGCGCCATTATTCTCATTTTCAATGGAATGACCAGAGATTATAGGGGAGACTGCCAGCGCTTAGGTAGAAGCTTCAACCGCAAAATTTTGTAGCGGCGGTGCATGAGCCCGGAGGGGCTCCCCAGATTGGAAAATTCATTTCTTCCCCCCTAATTGCGATGAAGGAATGAAAGCAACATCTATCGATCGAGAATTGTATTCTCAATAAATAACAGCGGGTTCGTTCTTTAATCTCTATTAGGAGAGGAGGA